ACAAGTCTGAGAATTAAAACCTCCAAGGGCCACAATCACAGAGCGTCCCCCAGACTGTTGACCTGAGATTGACCTCCCGGAGCTTGAGCAGGTTCCCACCGAAAGTATCAGAGTAAAAATCCCTTCATAACTCTGGCAGGGGAGGGGAAAAGGAGACATTTTGAAATATGCCAGAGCACTCTGTTCTCCTTAACAAGGCCTGCCTTCAGGGTAAACTAGTTAACCAGAGCCTATGCTGTTGGGGTATTATCAGAGCCTAACTGCTCTGGGGGGAAGGGAAGTAGTCAACTCTTAAGAAACTAAGGGGGAGAAAAATCCTGAGACACTCTTGTGAGGTTCACCATCCAGAGAGACAGGCTCACTAAAAGATTAAGACCTAATTCTAGGACTATAGAACACTTCCCCTCCCCACACATCTCACCACATTACTAAGGTTTATTTATGGCAGTTCCTTTTACCTGGTACATCATATCCAACTACCAAGAAAAGTGACAAGGCATACCATCAAAGACATTACAAGAGAAGAAGACCACAGACCAACATGTCTCATGAACAGAGATGCACAATTCCTCGATAAACTATTAGGAAATTAAACCCAACAATATATAAAAAGGATTATACAACATGACCAAGTGGGATTTATCCCAAGTAAGCAAGTCTGGTTCAAGACTTGCAAATTAATGTACTCCATCACACCAACAGGCTAAAAAAGGAAAATCACTTGATCATATGAAGAAAAAGCATTCGACAAAACCCAACAACTATTCATGATAAAAACTTAGTAAATTATGAATAGAAGGGAACTTCCTCAACCTGATAAAAAAATATTTACAAAACCTACAGCTAACATCATACTTAATGGTGAGAAACTAGAAGCTTTCCCACTAAGATCAGGAACAAGACAAAGATGTCCCTTCTCTCTACTCCTTTTCAACATCATATTGGAAGTACTAGCTAATGCAATAAGATAAGAAAAGGAAATAAAATTATATAGTTTGGGAAGGAAGAAATAAAACTAAAGAACAAATCAAGAAAATTAAATATTACAGAAAATGTATATTTGCCTAAGTTTTATCTTGTTTAGACGTTTTGGGCTTTTCTGCTGAGATATAATTTACACACCATAAAACTCACCATTTTAAAGTGTACAATTCAGTGGTTTTCAGTATTATTCACAATGTTGTATAGTCATCACTTTACTTAGTTCTAGAACATTCTTAAAAAGATTTTCTTTATTTTGAGAGAGAGAAAGAGTGCGTAAGCAGGGGGAAGAGCAGAGGCAGAGGGAGAGAGAGAATCTCAGACTCCGTGCTGACTGTGGAGCCCAATGTGGGGCTCTGTCTCACGACCCTGAGATCATGACCTGAGCCGAAATCAAGAGTTGGATGCTCAACCAACTGAGCCACCCAGACACCCCTAGAACATTTTCGTTACCTGAAAAATAAACCCCATTTATTAGCAGTCACTCCTCATTCCTCCCCTCCCAAGTCCCTGACAACTACTAATCTGTGTCTCTATGGATTTGCCTATTCTGGGCATTTAATATAGATGGAATAATGTCATATATGACTTTTTGTGTCTGGCTTTTTAACTTAGCATATTTTCAAGATCCATCTATGTTGTAGCATGCAACATTTCCTTCCTTTTTATGGCTGAATAATTTTCCATTTATGGATATGCCATATTTGTTTATCCATTCATTAGTTGATGGATGTTTGAGTTATTCCTACTTTTTGGCTATTATGAGTAATGCTGCTATGAAGATCCATGTACAGGGTTTTGTGGGGACATGTTTTCATTTCTTTGGGGCATATACCTAAGAGTGGAATTGCTGGCTCGTATAATAACTCTATGTTTAACTTTTTGAGGAATCACCAAACTGTTTTCCGAGGTGGCTACATCATTTCCCATTCCCATTAGCAATGTAAGTGTTCCACTTTCTCTATACCTTGCAAACACTTATTATTTACCTTTTACATTTTATTTATTTATTTACTAAAGATTTTATTTTTAGGTAATCTCTATACCCAACATGGGGCTTGAACGTATGATCCCAAGATCAAGAGTCTCACGCTCCACCAACTGAGCCAGCCAGGCACCCCTGCCTTTTTTAAATTAAAATAATTCTAAAAAAAAATTATAGTAATTCTAATGTGGAATCTCATTATGGTTTTGATTGCATTTCCCTAATAATTAATCATGTCAAGAATCATTTTGTACATGTTTTTGTACAAATACTCATTATCCATTTGTATGTCTCCTTTGGAGAAATGTCTATCCAAATTCTTTGCCATTTTAAAATCAGATTATTGGTCTGATTACTGACTTTTTAGAATTCTTTATGTATTCCAGAAACAAGCCCCTTATCAGGCATATAATTTGCAAATATTTTTCCCTTTCTTTGGGTTGTCTTTTCCACTTTCTTGACGGTGTGCTTTAAAACACAAAAATATTTAATTTTAATGATGTCCAATTGATTTATTTTTTTTATTTTGTTGCTTGTGGTATCATATCTAAGAAACTCTTGCCTATTACAAGATCAAGATTTATGTCTATGTTTGCTTCCAAGAGTATTTTAGCTTTAGTTCTCACGTTTGGGTTTTAGATCCATTTTGAGCTAATTTTTTTATTTGGTGTGAGTTAAGGGTCCAATTTCATTTCTTTGCTGGTGCATATACAGTTGTCCCAAAATTATTTTTTGAAGACTTTTCCTTCCCTCATCGATCTGTGTTGGCTCCCTTGGTGAAAAAGACACTGACCCTAGATGTAGCTCTTTGATGCTTTATTTCTGTTGGTCCCCCTCTTCTTATTTTGAAAAATGCAAGTTGCAGACGTTAACTCTTCACTCTTGTTTCAGTTAAAAATTCTTCCTAAACGGGTCAACAGGTGGCCCCATTCACAACCCGGTAGTTGGTTGGGCTGTTGGCTTGGTGCCTTAGTTCTCCTCCACATGCCCTCTGCAGCAGGCGGGCTCAGCCTTCCTCATAAGGAGTTCCAAAGGAATGAGAGTGGAAGCAGCAAGGTCCTTTAAGTTCTTGCTTGGAGTCACATTGCTTCACTTGTGCCACGGTCTACTACTCAAAGCAAGTTTACAAGTTGGCATCTATTAGAAGGGTGTGGAAATAGACTGTGCCTTTTGATAGAAGCTGCAAAGAACCTTCAAAGAATCTGTAACCATTTTTAATTCACAACAATCTCTAACCATACCAGTGTGTATCTTCTAAGAACAAGGAAATTGTGGATTACATATGGATTACACATGGGTGTAGAGTAAGGCTTTTCAGAGAAGGAACATTTGATCGAGGCCCGAATGAAGGGAATACAGCATGGGGAAGAGTATTTAAAGCAGGAGGAAGAGCATGTGCAAATGTCCTGTGGCAGGAAAGCGTTTGGTGTGAAAAGTGGGTCTGTTGTGAACATCAAATGGGATAAAATATGTAAGCATGTTTTATTATGGGATGAGAGAGATGTTCGATTGCCTATCACTGCAATTCTCTCAAGATGTTTCCAGAGGGTGAATGAAGACAGAAAAAAAAATGCCTTCAGTAATAACATCCAGCTAGATCAGGGCCAGGGACAAGCAACAGGAATGCCACATTCGGGGGGCGGGGGGGCGGTGTGCCTGGGTGGCTCAGTCAGTTAAGCGTCTGCCTTTGGCTCAGGTCATGATCCTGGGGTCCTGGGATTGAGTCCCAGGGAGCCTGCTTCTCCCTCTGCCCCTCCCCCTCCTTGTGCTTGCTCTCTATTTCTCTCTCTCTCTGGTAAATAAATAAATAAAATCTTAAAGAAAAAAAAAAAGGAATGTCACATTTCCCTTAGTGTCCAACTCCTGCTCCCCAAAGCGGGCTCTGCTTTGGGAACCTGGACCAGTCCATTCAGGTGGGCTGAGCACCGGCTTTGGATCCCCTTTCTTCCTGGCGGCTCAGCCCCAGCTAGGTGGACCTCTCACGTGCCATAGCCAGCTGGCTCCCCAGGCTCCCCTGCCTTTCAGGGTCCCTGATTCCAGTGACTTCAAAGGGACAAGAGGGCTCAAAGGTCTTAGCATTTAGGGGTATAGGGCTTTCCCTGGGGCCGCCCTAGGTCCTGGGGCCTGTCATATTCTCAGCGGGGGGTGGGGCACTTATAGACCCACACTAGCCTCCAGGTGACCTCGGGTGGAGGCAAGTCCTGCTCACTCTTGCTTTTGGAGCCTTTCAGTATATTAAAAAAAGTTGGGGCGCCTGTGTGGCTCAGTTGTTGAGCATCTGCCTTCGGCTCAGGTCATGGTCCCGGGGTCCTGGGATCGAGCCCCGCATCCAGCTCCCTGCTCTGCGGGAGGTCTGCTTCTCCCTCTCCTGCTCCCCCTGCTTGTGTTCCCTCTCTCGCTGTCTCTCTCTCCATCAAATAGATAAATAAAATCTTAAAAAAAAAAAGAAGGAAGGAAGGAGGGAGAGAGGGAGGGAGGAAGGGAGGGAGGAAAAAGAAAGAGCGTTCAGACAAAATAAGATGTGCAAGCATTGCTCATAGTCTCAGTGTATGAACAAACTGATAGGGCTTTAACCCACACAAATACAGTGGAAATCATTCGTAGTAGTCACAACATAGTCACGGACTTACCGAAAACCTTATTTCATAGCGTGGCCCAAGGTTATAGGAACCTGGGGAGCAGTAGCTTCTTTGCATCCCCTGTGTGACTCTAGGTCCAACTTCATTTGGAGAGAAGGTAGCCCTGGATGCCTCCAGAGCATGGTCAGCCGAGGGGAGGGGAGCCGGGCCTCGGAAGCGGGGAGCTCTGCTCACACGCAAGTTGGGGAGCCCGTCCAGCAGGAGGGCAGCTCGGGAGCCCAGGAGTTCAGGAGGGAGCTACACCACCTCACTGTGCTCTCTTTCTAGCTGCCCTTATCCTGTCTGAGAGTTAGAGGTCTCTCTCTGTGTCTCTCTGTCTTTCTCTTCTTTGTGTGTCTTTCTTTTCTCTGTCTCTGTTTCTCTCTCTCTCTCTCTCATTCCATCTCTCATTCCAGCTGCTGACGCGGGGCCTTCCCGCCCCCACCGCCAGGCCTCCTAACAGTAGAGCTGCCTTTGGACGTCCCACCGTTGGAAATCAGCAGAAGGTTGCTGGCAGGGTAAGGACTTTCTTCTCTCCGGGGCTGGCCTTCTCCCAGCTGGAGGGCCCCGCCGGCCCTGCCCCCAGGACCCCCTGCCGTGTGTGGTTTGTGGCCTGGGCTGCGGCCAGGGCCCCGGTGTCTGGTGTCTCAGTGGGGCCCTGCGCGGCTGGAGCGGACCAAGGATGTGGTGGACCGTGGGGGTGTTTCTTGCAGGGCCGCCCACACTCCAGTGTGGGGAAGAATGCTCTGGAGAGACGTCTCCTCTCTTGGTCTCCTTCTGACCTTCTTTCCTCTCAGTCAGTTTTCCCCAGATGCCGGGAAATATGGATGTGTGTGGACATCACAGGGTTGGTCCTCCTTCTAGGCCGGGCCCGGCCCCTCCGGTGCTGGGGGGCACGAGAGTGTCGTTGTCCCAGCCGGCCGAGGGCGACGGCGTGCCTCTGAGGCCCGGTGCGGCCTGGATCAGCCACACAAATGTGGTGTTTCAATATTTATTTTTAGTGGCCACTGGTTAAAACGAGCCTTCCCTTTGATGGGGGCAACCCTGAAATGTAAAAATAAATGAGATCATTGCCTTGTCAGGAAGCCCCACCGGCCGCCGCTGGGTGGACCCTGAGCCCAGTCCCCAAATGTCCAGGACAACCAGCAAGTCTCATGATTTGAGGGCTCTTCAGGGAGGCAGGCTGGTGATGACCATGGCCCCTCACTGGGAAGACCGCGGTCCTTCTCTCCCCAGCCTCCTGGCCCGTGCCCAGGACCCTGCCTCACCCTGGGCCCTTCAGTGGCTGGCAGGCTGTCGACCAGGGCTGGGGGCTTGGGTCTCGTGTGGGCACTCACGAACCTCTCTGGCCTCAGCTCAGGTCAGGAGGTCCTACCTGCTCTGGGAGACACACGGGAGTCTGTTGGCTTAAACGTTCTGGAAATTCATCTGTGTGACCCAATAGCCCCGGCTCTCGGGGTTACTGCTGCTGGAGTCCTTCCGCTTGTTCCAACCAAAGCTGGTGTTGAAGGTCAAGGACAATGATAGCTCTTCTTGTGCTAAAGCATTGGAGGGTGCAGGTGAGGCTGAGTTCACGCTTGGGTTTGGATTTGAGAGTGTTGCGTGGTCCTGTCCTTGTCCCACAGTAGAAGGGGCAGCTGGCCCTTGGGGGGCACTGCCCCAAAGCCCCCAGCCAAGCCCTCTCCTAACTTGCTTGTCAGGGGCCTGGCATCCCTACTGGAGAAGGGCTTTTCTTGGTTCAAGGTGTTTCTCCAAGGGAGTCTGGGTGCAGCCGGTCCGCCTTGGGTAGGGTGACGCCCGGAGCTCAGGGACCACCTAATCTTTACTGGTGTTCTGGTTTTCAGCTGTGAAAACTGGCTCAGAGGCACCAAGTCCCTTTTCCCAGGTCAGAGTTCATACAGGAATGTGGGTTCAAACCCAAAGCTGTCTCTGCATTTTTGACCCTTTTCCGGACTACCTCCTCATCGGCTTATCGTCCCTTTGTCCCTTATTGGCTCTTGACACCTCAGGTGGGATTGATTATTTTATCACAGTGTTTCTTAAACCCAAATAATGTAGGACCCTTCCCCCCACCCCCACCTTTTGGAGGAAAAAAATTATCTTCGTTCCCTAGTACTGATCTAAATTATTTTCATTTTAACGTTACTTAAATACATAAAAAACATGAAAACAGGCATAACCCTCTTATGTTTGTAGCTGTTATGGACCCAGTTCCCCAAGACCATTCAAAAATTACAGACAAAACGAAGAGAAGAAAGAGATTCCGATGAATGCCATCAACCTCATGAGGTAGTGTGACACCATTCTGCAGAAGCGAGTCCCCGCTTGCTGACAGGGTGACTGCTTTGGAGCCCACCGGGCCTGCAGCGTCTCCCCCCGGTGCCTGTACTTGAGCTGGGAAGCCCATTGGAGCACGTCACGTGGTGGTGTCACTTGGTCCTCTGCATGTTAATGACAGGAGCTTACTCACCCACCCGGACCTGGTCCACAGGACAACACCATGGGGATGAAGTTAGGGTCTGCGCCCTGGTCGCTGAGCAAAGCCCCAGAGACACGTGGTGCTTGCCAGGGAGGTACCGGGGCAGGACCAGAGCAAGGGACCTCAGTGCCCAGTGTGGACGGGGGCGCGTCCCGGGCTTGGGGCAGAGTGGAGGCAGGGACATCTTTTGGCCAGAGTGAAGGTGGCAGGAAAATCTCAAGACTTCCAACCAGTAGGTGCATGTGGGGGAAATCAGAATGATCTTTTTGTCCTTTATCCCAGGGAAGAGCTCTTCTAGAACCCTCCTAGGCAGGTCCCTCTGTGGCTGCTGCCTGGCCTGGGCCCCTGGAATGGGCCACGTGGGCCACTGGCCCTGCTGCTGTCCTGTTGGACCCTCACTGCCCCTGACCAGTCCCTTTGTGTCTCTGAGAATGAAGGGTCAGCACAGCATAGAGCCAGGCCCCAAAATAGGACTGCCAGACAGGGTAAGGAATCCAGGTCCCTGACCTGAGAATGACTGGCCGGTCAGGAGTGGCCGGCTCATGGGTCTGAACCCCACACCGAGGGACAGAGTTTGTTCTATCTCTGCTTTTGCTTACCCTCTTCAGCCCCCTCTCAGACTGAATGGGGCTGGCAACAAGTGTGAGACCCTTGTCTCTTGGGCCTTCTGTTTAGAGCCTCTCCATGTACTAGCTGATGGCCCTTGGGCTTATCAATCGATCTTTCTGTGCAGCAGTTCCCTAATCTGTGAAATGGGTCCATGTGTGAATTCCATGAGGTGATAGGGATCTTCTGCATTAGATTCTAGCTCACTTACATATACCTGTGAGATGCGTGTGTGTGTGCAATTGTACATATGTGTATAGACAGAGATATTACTTTATAAGCAAACCAAAAACAACAGCAACAAAAATAACCACGAGCTCTCTCCAGGGGCCTGGGGCACCAGGATTTGCCTCACTAGAAGACCCGGAGCTGCATTTCCGCGGGAGAAAGGAGCTGGAGCAAAATGGTAGACATGGACAATAGCAACACAGCAACACAACACTTTCATTATGTCTGTTCCTGGTTTCATTGGGGAGCAGGAGCAGAAAAGCAACTCAACTTCAGCTGACCTTGGTCGGGTCACAGTGCACCTTTGAGCAGGGAGTCCTGCTCACTGGTGGCCCTCACTTTTCTTGGCTTCCATTGCTCACTGTGGGCACCCAATGGAAGCCCTTTGCAAGGATTGCAAACAAGCCAAAGCTACACGGTGGCCCTGGATCTCTTTTGGAGGTAGATGACGTGTAAATTATTACTTAAGGAGATGCAAAATATTATATTAAGGGTTTTCATGCCCAGAACCGTCCTGGGGAGCGCAGTGAGAGGCAGAGTAGAGTATTCCATGTCTCTGGAAACTGCCGTTTTAGATCTCTGCTTTATCAGAGCTGCCAGAGCTTTTACTTTCCCGGGAAAGAGCCTACTTTCAGACCCCCTGAACTGGATGGGGACAGAGCATTGACTTTGCCCAACCATGAGGACCGAGGGGCTGTCCTTCCATGGGGTTGCTAAGCGGGCAGGATATACATTTCTAGCTCCCCTCATAATGGGAGGCCTGCCTGGGATAAGGCCGAGATGGAGAGATGAAGAGGGAGACCCTGGATCAAGCCATGCCTGAAGCCATCTACTCAGATAGGTGTTATATGAACCTCCCTTCCCACCAGTAACCCCGTCCCTGCCCCCTCATCTTTTCCTTTAGAAGGTGATTTTTAGCCAAAAGCATCTTGGCCACCACTGTTATGGAGTAAGTAGTATGTGGACCTGCTCATCCAACCACTCATAGGCGACCATTGTGCCAGGCCCTGAAATAGGTGTCAGCGACACAAGGACAAATCATATCCTCAGCACCTTGGTCGGCCGAGGGGGCAGATGTGAGATGAATCCACACTGCCTCGTGTTGAGTATTAGTGGAGGGGAGGAGGGGAGAGAGGACCCGAATCCGAGAGGGCTTCCCTGAGGAGGCGACATGTACCTCAAACTGGAGGGAGAGATGGGGTTTTGCTAGAGAGAGAAGAAGACTGGTGGGCACAGAGCAAGCAGCTGACCAAGTACAGAGTGTGTGAAGAAACCACAGGCCAGGGGCTGGCAGCCGGCGTTCCCTGAGCCGGGAAGGGAGGGGAGACAGCTCTAGCCTCTGCCCGGCTCCTGCGGGGGCCCCGGGGCCAGCCCTCCGACTCCGTCCCTGCCTGCAGCGTTGTCAGGAAGAGACTGAGGGAAGCCTGGGGAGACACACACGGCTGGGAGAGGGAGGGATGTGGCCACTTTCTTTCCAGCTCCTCACAGTAAAGAAATGACTTCCCTCCTGCACAAGTTGGACTTCCTCTGCAGCTGGAAAGAAGATATTAATGCTGTGTCTGACGATGTGTCGCCTGGCGGGACAGGGCCCCAGCAGCCAGGTGAGCTCACGGCTGACCTGCTGCCCTCCTTCGCGCCGCGACTGTCCCCCTGGCCCGGGTGCCCCCACGTCCAGGCCGAGAGAAACTTGGCTCCACTGTGACTCTCTAAATAAGTGGTTTTTATTTCATGTTCACCAGGGAGGTTACAAAATATAATTGGGGTTGCTGCTCCACATATTATTTCTGCAATGTTCCCCCATCTCCCTTCCCAAAAGCCACTCACAAAGGGGTCTTTGTTCTCTGTAAGTTCAAAGTCAGCTTCTCCAACGGGAAACGGATTGGCGATTACAAGGAGGAGACTGAGTTTTACTGGCTGTCCGACCAGAAATATGGGACGCATCAGGGTTCCGGCAGGAGCCAGGGCGAGTGCGGTTTGCAGGCCACAGAAGCCAGTGTGAATGGATTTCCAGTGTGAGCCGAAGGCGGGCCTTGGGGGGGCAGCCCACATCGGCTCTCTCCCGGGGGGCCACGGTCCACACTCGGCCTCCACTGCCTGGCTTGCTCCACCCATAGCGTGGGGTCCTCATACCCTGGACTAGAAGTAATCAGAGGGTTTCGTTCAGTTCCTGGGCCCTCCGGGGCTTTTCAGAGGGTCTCATCACAGGGTGGGCAGGGCTCGGGGCACCCACGCCCGCTACTACCCTTCCGGAGCTTTGACTGATTGAATGAACGTCCAGGTCAGACTTTAAGGAAGAAGACTTTTTCCAAGAAAGTTTGCCAAGGGTTGACCTGGGTGACCTTGTAGGCCTAGGAGATGCTGGGCCCCAGGAGACGGTGGGGGGAGGAGGCTCAGAGCCCGGGGATCCTGTGTAGCCTCGAGCAGCATGGCTAGCCTTTCTGGGCCTCTTCTGTCCCTCTGGAAAGTGGAGTCACAGCGGCCTGATGGAGGTGCAGCACAGGGCTGGGGGCTGCTGGCTCAGAGGTGCAGAGGTGGGCACCTACGGCTGGGCACCCACTGCTTGGTCGAGTCAGCCTTTCGAAGGTTGGAGAGCCTTCCCATGGCACCTGCACTTTGTCTAGCCTAGGTCCAACCAAGGTGTGCCCCTCACTGAGAGCGGGAGGGGCAGGGGCCCAGCACTCTGGGCCCTGGGCTGAGACTCTGCCTTTCACCCTAAGGGGACACTCCTACCCACAGCATCCTGCAGTGGGGGGCTCCTTCCCAGCATCTTGGAGGAAACTGAGTAGCAGCATCTCCGGAACCTCAGCTCAGCTGGGCCTCCCCTCACCATAGTGGTCCCAAGGAAGAAGCCAAGCCACAGGGCCCTCGGTGGCCAGCAGCGTCGGGGGCTTAGGACACAGCAGGCCCACAGGGGCCCCCGGGGAGGAGGCTGGCCACACCCTCAGACCCACTCCCTGGGGCCTGCCCTCCATGGACCCTCCCCTCCCTGCCATCCCCTGCCAGCCTGGCCAGCAGAACTGGGGCTCACAACACGCCCACTTTTGTTCCAGCAACAACAGCCTAGGAATTTGGGGGTGGGGTACGGGAGGTGGCGTGTCCCAGGCCATGGGGCTCTTCTCCATCCCGGGGTGGGGCTGCTGGGGTGATAGTGAGGGCCACCTGCCCGCCCCTCTGCCAGGAGCCAGAGCTTCCTCTGGGAGGTCACCCATGTGTTTCCATGTGTTTCTGCAGCTCCAGGGTCCTGCTGGGACAGAGCCGGGAACTGCGGGCGGGAGTGCTGGGGGCTTTAGGAAAACAAAACCTCCCTCCAGGCCCCCTTGGAAGAGACGCTGAGCTCCCTGGGGGAGCGGGGAGAGGAGACCCTTGTGTGAGCTTTACAAAGCTAGGAGGAGATGGAGGGTCTCTCATGCGCCCCCCCCCCACCATCCTGGCTCCAAGATTCCAGATCTTTCCAGAGCACAGCTCTCAGGGCATTTCAGAGCAGAAGCCAGGCCCAGCTGGAGGCCGATACAGAGGCCCCTTCCAAGGCCGGCTGGCTCCCAAACTGCCTCCCTAGGTGGCCCCACTGTCACTGCCACCAGCCGTTGCGTTCACTGATAAAACACTGGCTCTGGCCGTTGAGCCCTCGGGGCCCTGGTGAACTTCTGGGCAGGCTAGAGGCACTCCGCGAAAACCACATCTCAGGGGTGGCCCCTCCACTTACACCGGCAGGCAGGAAAGCGGGTTTTTGCAGTAACAGCTTCCACATCGAGGGAGAGGCCACCAGCGGGGGTGCAGGGAATTCTCTGCAGTCGTGGGACACTGGCCAGCCCAGACACAACTCACCGTGGGAGGCAGGATGCCTGGGCCCGCTCGCCCTGGGAGCTGCTCTCATCTACCAGAGGATGGATCGGGATTCTCCCCATTTTATAGCCAGGGAAAACCAAGGTTCACAAAGTCAGGAGGGCTTAGGATTGGGGTCTGCTTGCTCCAATCCCGGGGTGCTCACAGTAGTTCACACTGCCTCGTGGGGAGCAGGCGCTATGCTCTGTTTCCTCATTAATACTCTCACCACACCTGGACTGCGGGTATTGACCCATTTTACAGATCACAAACTGAGGGTCTGAGTGGTTAAGTAACTTGGGCTAAGTGAGCTGGGATCGGAACTCAGGCCTACTTGACCCCAGAGGTCTCACCCACTCCAACCCTGTGGGGCTTTGCTACCTTCATGTGCTGCCTCCCCTAAAACTCTCCCTAACCATCCTCTGGGGAGCTCCCCCAAAGGGCCCTGTCTGGACTCCAGCCCCAGGGATTCTAATGTACTGACTGGGGTGTGGCCTGGGTGTCAGGGGTTCTCAGTCGGTTAAGCGTCTGCCTTCAGTTCAGGTCACGGTCCCAGGGTCCTGGGATCGAGCCCCGCATCGGGCTCCCTGCTCAGCGGGGAGCCTGCTTCTCCTCCTCCCTCTGCCCTTCGCCTCCCCAGTTTGTGCTCTCTCTCTCTCACATAAATAAAATCTTTTAAAAAAATTACATAAACGATGTCACAGCACATCATGAAGACAATAAGTGCATCAAATATTTCTGTCGTTGTTGTCATAATGTCCTTTGTTCAGTAAACACCCCCCCAACACACACAAATTGCAGCCACAACATCGTGTCCATCGTGTATTTTCCTCCTTGTGATCTCAAGCAGATACATCATAAACATATACATGAAGAAGGGTCATATTTTCAGGACAAATGCCAAATATTTTTTTCAGATTTGTAAATTTGTTATAAATATTACAAAATCATTTTTACAAATTTATTCTTTGCAAAAAACATATACATAAAATCGAAGTATGGTTTGTTACTCAACCAAACCACACAAAGAGTGACATTACGTGAGCAAAAATTGGGACTATTGCCAAGAATGAGTCTGTGAATGGGATATTTGAAAGTTTGAAGTGGAAACATCCCCCCGCGCCACCCCGCCCCCCCAAGCTCTCACAGCCCGGATAGGCTGAAATTCTCTTTTCTTCAGATTAATCTGTGGGTTGCAGGGCCATGCATGGACGCCGTAATGGCAGCCAGAGAATGGGCTTGGGGAGGAGCAGGCTCCCGGGCTAGGGGTGCAGTGCAGACCCCTTTCCTTTGTATCTCCATCCATCCTTCTGAGACTCTGCACCAGGCCACGTGCCCACCGCTGCCCTGGCGGGATTCCTTGCTTAGCAGGGAAAATGCCCCAGGGAGTTCACCCAAGGTGGGAGCACATTACATTCCTCTGCTGGTGGCCTGAGTCCCCTGGGCCTGTCCTGAATATCTTCAGGCTCCGAGGCAAGGGCACAAAGGGACACCCACATACGATATGCAAAACTATTGATAAGTTATACCTTACGTTAATTTTTTTGAGAAAATATTTTCTCCCCTCCTACCTGAGTAGATATATTTTTGTAATGACATGAAAGGCGTGGTTCACATTAGGGATTTTAGTGCTTTCTAAATTTTTCTGCATGAGAATGGGATAGAGAGGAGAGCCCTGGAGCCCAGCCGTGGCCTGCCCCCTTCTCCCATCCGAGGTTCTGTCTGTGAGGGGCCAGGAGCCCAGGGGTCCGAGCTTTATCCAACCCCCTGAGTGCACCATAAGCGTGCACCATCAGTGGTGTGGCCTCCCTAGAGTGGACAGGTCTGGCAAGAGGCCCAGGCAGGCCTGTGATAGTAGGGTGGGGGTTTCTGGGCTCTGGGGTGTGGGCTTTGGGTGGGCCCAGAAGCCCACCTTGCACCCCCTCACTCCTGGCTTCACTGGGAGAGGGCCTGAGCAGGCCGTGTGAGTAGTGAGGGGTGGACTCCTCCTCCAGGGCAGGTGCTGATGTCCCCATACTACCTTTTCTGTTTGCTGCTGTTGTTCACGGAACGCCAGGTGGATAAATAAACAGTCCAGAGGCCTCTTGTGAATTGGTTCAGTTTCCTGGAACCCACGGAGACGGGACATCCACGTCCCTCCAGGTGTAGCTGGTGCTGCCTCACAGGTCTCCTGCTCTGGGGGAAATAAAGAAGTTTCTTTCAGCTCCTTGTTGGAGAAGTCGGTGCTCGGGTGCAGGGCATGCAGATCCTCCACCTACGGGGGCAGGAGGAAGGACAGGAGAAGCGTCTGGGTCACGGCGGCAGGGGGGCCCTGGCAGGAGAGGTAAGGAAGCTGACAATCAAGGGAGGACCAGAGCCTAAAACAGGTCTCGAGGTTGGGGCCCGGCTAGGGGGCCTCCATCCTGGCAGCACCCAGGGTCCCCAGCTTTGTCACTGCTCCTTTCTCCCATAGGGAGCACCGAGTCGGGAAAGACGGTGTGATGAGCTCGTGGCTCCAGAGTCTGGTCCCAGCACAAGTGTGTCGAGGGGAGGGGGATTCTGCTGTTGAAATGTTAGATCCACTGTCTGCAAATGGATAATGACTCTATCACTTGGCTGATACGACCCTGAGAACATGGGAGGTGGGGGGCATAAGATCAGCCATCTTTGAGCAAACACTGAGTGCTGGGAAATGTGGGGATGGCTTCTCAGATCTACAGTAATGAAGGGGACAAAGTTGGTCCCTGCATTGGGTTGAATGGTGACTCCGAATAACATGTGTCCCTGTCCAGATCCCTAGAAACCCATGCATGTTGCCTCATTTGGAAAAAGGGTCTTTACAGATGTAATTCAGTTAAGGATCTTTTTTTTTTTTTGATGCTAACAATATTTTTTTTATTATTATGTTATGTTAATCACCATACATTACATCATTAGTTTTTGATGTAGTGTTCCATGATTCATGGTTTGTGCATAACACCCAGTGCTCCATGCAGAACGTGCCCTCTTTAATACCCATCACCAGGCTAACCCATCCCCCCACCCCCCTCCCCTCTAGAACCCTCAGTTTGTTTTTCAGAGTCCATAGTCTCTCAGATGAGATTATTCTGGATTACCTGTGGCAGGGGGGGAACTCATCCAGCGACAGGTGCCTTATAAGAGACAGAGGAGGAGACAGGTGCACAGAGGAGAAGCTCATGTGATCGTGGGGGCCAAGCCTAGGGCGACCGAGTCACCAGGTCATCCCTAGAGCCTCCAGAGGTGAGCATGGCCCTGTGACCCTTTAACTTGGGACTTCTGGCTCCAAAACTGTTAGAGAAGAAATTTCTATTGTGTTAAGCCACCAAGTTTG